TGTTTGTGTGTATCTCTCTCTCTCTACACACACACACACACACACACACACATATATATATATATATATATATATTTCATGAGAGACCAACGCACACACATACACAGAATGACAAGCACTCTCAACAGGGTCTTTATGCCACAATCCACCTCCAGCCAGAGTCAGGATCATGGTCACATTTATAAGGAGATCTTGGAGCACGAACCCAGGACCTTCCTATATGGCTTCAGCATCTGGGAGCATTGCATTACTACTGTGCCACTATGTCAGGTCAAAAATTGCATTTTGTGAATTAAAACCTAACTTAATACGTAAATAAACTGCAAAGTAAACTAAGAGTATTTTCTTGTAACAGGTCATGGCATCTCAACCAATCATAGCCGTTAATCTTTCAGCCAATCACAGGCTGCACACTGCCCAGCCATGTCCAAATAAGGCAAACCCTGAGTTGGAACCAATCAGGCTATTTCTATATAACACTTCTCTTTTTAGTCTACACAAATTGTCAGTCACATTGCTGGGTGTAGCTCTCCGAACCTTTACTGGTGCTGCCAAATTCTTGCATTCCTCCCCTCCCTAGAAAGTGTATGTGTTTGACAGGGAGAGACAGAGAAACAGAGAGAGGGAGAAAGCAACCCTGATGGAGTGTGGTGATGCCCAAATTCCTTCTCCGTCATTTCTTTATCCTCTTGGGATTTTGAGCGTGCATGCACATGCTCCCAGCCTGTTTTTCAAGTCACCAGGGCTGAGTTTGAACTACATGGTCAGCCATCTGCATTCCAGTTCCTTTAACCACTTGGCCACAGGCCTGGCTCCACGAATCATTTCTTTATTTAAATATACTCTGCTAAATTTAATTTGCCTAAAGCTTTTCTTTCAATAGTTGTAAAGTGATTACTACCATCAAGTTAATTAACATACTCCTACATAGTTATTACCTGTATATATATATATAGCTATTATTTTGTGCACGTACATGCATGTGTTTGTGTGTGCATTGAGAAAATCTAGTGTGTGATCTATCCTCTTAACAAATAGCAAGTGCAAGAGAAACTTCAAAAAGTTTATGGAATGCAATTTAGGTGCAAAAATTGTGAAATTCATGCATTTTAAAAATAATACACATTTTCCAGGGACCAGTTGGTGGCATGGTGGTTAAAGCACTGAACACTCCCACATGGCTGACCATGGTTTGAGTCCTGGACCTGGTGGCTTGCTTTCTCACTTTCTCTTTCTCTGTCTCTGTCTTTTTCTGGTTAAATTAAACTAAATGAATGAATCAATAAAATTAAATTTTAAAAAAGTAAAAAAAAATGCATTTTCCATAAACTTTCTGAAGACCCCATCCCCCATACAATATAGTATCTTCACCATCCTATACATTAGACACCCAGAATCATTTGTCATGCATAACTGAAACTTTGCACCCTTTGACTAACATCACCAGATTTCCCTTTATCCCCGGCCCCTGGCAACCACTGTCTCTAACTGAGATCACATAATACCCACCATGGGTTTATTTAGGTGCCTTGAGTATATCACCACCTTTCTGTGCTCTGGTTTTCTGGTTTAGTCTTGCTATGGAAAAGGTTCTTCCCAGGTAATATATTGTAGTGTACTCCAGGATTCAATAATTCTCTTTCCAGAAGAAAGTAGTGAATGCTGTAACAGCCAAAAAGTGTCTGATTCAGGGCTGGCCCTATAGCTTGGTGACTAGGGAGTTGGATCCCACATGGCCAATTGTGGTTTGAGTTCTGGCCCCAGGAGCTTGAGGAACATGTTGGGTGCATGTGCATGTATGACCAAAATCCTGACAGGATAGCAAAATGGAGGAGAAGGGACTGTGGCCATGCCCCATCAGAGGGTGCTTTCTTTCTCTCTCTGTCTCTCGCATGCACACATGCCAAAGGCAATCAGAACAATTAACTGACATTGCATATAGTCCGACTTAACTGACATTTGGGGAAAAAAATTGTATAACTTTAGATAACCCTAACTTCTGAAGATTATGCTGATTGGCTTTTGTTGATTTTAAAAAAGCAAAACAGGCAAGACATGGTGGTGTGCACCTGCAATCCCAATGATCTGGAAGACTGAGTTAGGGGGATGGTGAGTTTGAGGCTGGCCTGGGCAACATAGAAAGACCCTGTCTAGAAACAAAAACCAAAATAATAGTAATAATAAGAGCAATACAGTCTCATGTCTGTAAGAATGTTAGCAGCTGATAATTTTTTTAAATCTTCAAAAACATTTTATTATTTTAATTTATCTTATACATTCAATCACTGTATAACACTATAGCTTATAAAACGAATTTACCCAACATGAATACACATACACTAAATAGGATTGTCAGAAGTGTTCAAGTTTTTAAAGGGAGCTTGAAAATTTGAAAAATGCAGTCAGATTTTATACTATGATTGATATGAACATTTTTCTTCTTATTTCTATCCTCAAAACGTCCTTCCTAATGCTCTATTTGGGCAATTTTGTATCTTACTTTAATGACTTAACATCTTATTTATAACAAAAATGATTTTCAATGCTATTTCAAGGAATTTTGGAGCCGACAGTAAATGTAATAAGGCAGGCTGGGTCAGGACATGACCTTTGCACTCTCCATTTCTCCAGCTGATTGAGGAAAGAGGACCCAGAGGGAGATAGACATGTGAACATTTCTGTAATTACAGGCTCCGAAAAGTCCTAAGAGGAAAGGTGTACAAAGCCAGCTAGCATACAAGGAGTGGAGTTGAGAGCTGACCTGACTCTGCCTCTGTGCACACAATCTAGGGGGTCTGGGAAGACTTCCCTGAAAAAGTGACCTTTCAGCCTGAAATGTAAGTGAAAATAGTTAGGCCTTGGGTAGGAGTGAGGGGAGGAGAGGGAAGAGCTTTCTAATGGGAGGGAACTCTGTGCAGACACCTGGGGTAGGAAGAAGCTTTGCTTTTTAGAGAAACTGAAAGTATGTCAGCCAGGAAGTACAGAGCAAGTGTGAGACTGGAGTGTGAGATGATATTAAAAGGTAGACCAGGGCTAGACCATGCCTAATCTTGTAGACCATGCCAACGATTTCCTTTTTTTCTTTTAATTTTTAAAATTAATTGTTTATTTTATATATTATTATTTTTTAAATTTACTATGGAACACATGAACTCACCAGAGAGAGAGTGAGAAAGTGAGAAAGTGAGAAAGCAAGTTGCTAGGTCTGGGGCTCAAATTGCAGTCCAGCACCCCAACCACCTGTTGGTTTTGCCAGTGATTTTCTTCAAGTTTATTTATTTCTTTTGAAAAAGAGAAAGACAGAGAGCCACACCCAACAGGGTCTTCCTGCTGCCCCCAGACACTCACATACCCAGTGCATTCATTGTGCTAAGGGAGGTCCCAAGATGGACCCCCAGGACCCCCACGTGTGTCCAGTTGCATTACCACTGTGCCGCTGACTGACCCCCCCCACAGCAAGGATTTTGTTCTCTATTCTAAGAAAGCTTTTCCAAGAGACCAGGCCAAAGGTTAGGATGATGGTAAAAGTAGAAATGTCCAGAAGGGATATTTAAGCAAGAGTGATTTAAGCTATAAATCATGGCAAGCTGGTGGTCAACTGGGATAAGAGGAAGCCAGGAGAGGGAGGGTCAGAGTGCTGCCAAGGTTCTAATTTGCCAAAGAAAGGACCTTTTCCGTTAGGGGTCTAAGACTGGGATCTAATTTTGTCTCCACTTCCTACTTCAAGTGTGAGAGATGGGGAGCTAGCAGGTTTGCAGGTACTCGGAATCTTACTGCTGTTCTTTAAAGCAGGCTCCCATTGAAGACCGAATGATTCAGGAGCCAGAGGAGAAGGTGAGCAAGTGGACAGCAGGACAGGAGAAGGGAAAGAAGGAGAAGGAGGAGAGTCTAGCCTTGCGACTGTTTGTGCAGACGTACTCCCCCAAGAAAGGAGTGGGGCAAGACAAAGCAGAGGTGGGGAGAGGGGAAAGCCAGGCCCTGACAGGAGAGGGGCTGAGGAACACTGAGATGGAAGACTTTCAGGGGAAAGCTGTGGAGTCTTAGCCAATCTAGTCCAATTCTCCCAATGAACAGCTGAGAACATTAATTTTAATGTTTCATACATTTATTTTTTGTTCATAAGTCAGACTTCATGCGTGCTCCCCAGATAGAGACAAGAGAGACAGAGAGACAAGAGAAATGGAGAGACAAGGAGAGGGAGAAAGCCCCCTCCTCCCCAGTGGGGAATGGTCACACTGCAACCCTCCACTTCCTCTGGTCAGGAGTTTCCGATGGCAGGCAGGCTAACCCCCTGCGTTTCAGAGCCCTGAGGGCCTCGACTCAAACGGCCCTTAGCCTGTAACCCTCTGGGTCCAGCTTCCAATGTGCAGCTCTCAAATTCTGTGCTATGGGAGGCCCCCTTTGCAGTTTTAATATGGCTCGAGTCAGGCCAGCAGGTGGTCTAGAGCTTAAGGTGATGGATTCCTACATGGTCCACAGTGGTTCGAATCGCAGACCTGGCGGCTCGAAACACATTGGGTGTGTGTGTGCGTGGGTACCCCAAATCTTGAGAGAATGGAGAAGGGATTGAGGCCTGGCCACCCCCCCCATCCCCCTAGGATGACTTCTCACTTTCTATCCCGGTGAGCTCTGGCGCCTTAAAGCAAACACCTCTCTCAAAAATGTGTGTATATATGTGTGTGTGTGTGTGTGTGTGTGTGTGTGTGTGTGTGTATGTAGCTGGAGTCGTAAGTAGATAGAACTTTATGTCCTGCTTTTAAAACTTAAATCATCGCTGAAAGCTTCCCCCAAGCCGCCCTAAACTCATCTGAAACAGGAGACTGGGGCCAGCTGGCTGCAGAACGTACTCCTGGGAGCTGCCCCAGTTTGAGGATTCCTTGGACTCCAGGCAGGGCTCTTGGCGGCCGGAGTAGGTAGCGCCCAGGCAGAAGCCGCAGAACGCAGATTTGCCAGTCCTGTGGGGCTGGGTGCCGGGGCGGAGAGCCAGAGGAACCCGCCTAAAGTGACGAGAGCGGAGCCGGAGGGGGGCAGTGCACTGGGCGAGGAAAACAGGACAGAGGTTGGGGCCCCGCGCCCGGCGGCGGCGCAGCTCCGTGAGGTCGCCACCCTCGGAGACATGGCGTGCCTGCTGTTTCTGCTGCTTTGGGGGCTCCCTCAGATTTGGGGAAGTGCTGAGGGTGAGAGGGACCAGGGCGTCCTGGGGAGGCTGAGCGAGAGAGCCGTGCTGGGACTGAGGCCGCCGCACGCTGAGGCCGGGTCGAGCCCGGGGCGCAGCGGCCAGATCCTGCGGGGGAACCCGCTGCTCCCCGCGGGCGTGCGGGGTGGGGTGGAAGGGCGAGAGCGGCAGAGCGCGCAGCCACCCACTTCCCAAACCTTCTGCTGTTGGTTTTAATTCTCTTTTTTTCCCTCGCATGCTGTTTGCTCTCCCGGCCGTTCGCTACTCCCTAGTCCCGCAAAGGCATTTCCCCTTCCGCGGCCTCCAGATCTGGTCTTTCGTGAACAGCAGCTGGATGCGCACCGACGGCTTGGCGTGGCTGGGGGAGCTGCAGACCCACCGCTGGAGCAACGACTCGGACAACATCGGCTTCCTGAGGCCCTGGTCTCGGGGCACGTTCAGCCCAGAGCAGTGGGAGTCTCTGCAGCACGAGTTGCGGGTTTACCGAAGCAGCGTCTTCAGGGACGTACAGGAATTCGCCCAAATGATACACTTAGTCTGTGAGTGAGGCCTGGGACCCCCGGTAGGGACATGCGGGTGCACACAGAGCCTGACTGGGAGACTGTGGCCTCGTCTGAGGAAAGTCTCTGCTCTCTCCACCCTCTTCTGTCTTCCACTTCTGCCTGGAGATGTCCCAGCCCCTGACTCCTTAAAATACCCCGTGTGCCTGCCTGCTCCAGGTCATGTACCGCCATCTTCCTGAACTCCGAGTCTCTGGTATAACTAGTTCTTCCTCGTCCCTTCCAGGCTTTAACTCTTTCTGGTTCTATGTATTTATTTTTAGAGAGATTTTTGCTACAGGGCATGTGTGCTCACCAGAGAGACAGAGAGACAGAAAATGAGAAATCACTCCCACTCCCCCAGGGAGATGGCCACTCTACGGTCCCTTCTCCACTCTCCTCCCTGGACTTGAGGCACACACACAGCTGCACCCTGCCTGTTTCAAACAGCCAGTCCAGGCAGGCGACTATAAGGGACTCCAGCGATGGAACCATGATGCCATCTGCTGGTCCCCTTTCTGATTCTATCCATTCCTGCCCACAGACCCCATGGAGATACAGGTGGCTGCCGGCTGTGAGGTGCAACCTGGAAACGACCCACCGCACTTCCACGTAGCATATCAAGGAAGCCCTCTCCTGAGTTTCCAGGGAAACTCTTGGGTGCCAGCCCCAGAGGCTCCCTTTGGGATAAATGTGGTCATTCAAGTGCTCAACCAGGACCGAGGGACCAAAGAAATGCTACAGGAGCTTCTCAACAACACCTGCCCCCAGCTGGTCAGGGGCCTCCTTCAGGCAGGGAAGACAGACCTGGAGAAGCAAGGTCAGCCTGCTTTCCTCAGCCCTGCTCTCCGCTGTCTCAGGGCCTGTCCGGGTTTTTCTACCCAGGCTTCTTCTTCCTTTGAGCACCAGAGGAAGAGAGAGGCCCTGGAAGAGATAGAAAAGCCTAAGCTGTGAGGGTTCATTTCACAGGCATTAAGTGGGCACCTTTCGGTGAATTGAATTCATTTAATTAAATTTATTTAACTCTTGAATTAAATAAGCACTGGGGATCAAAATGGAGTCAGGCAGGTAGGATCCCTGCTTGAGGGGGAGGATGAGAAGGCAGATTAACAACCAAAGCAATGTTTGAGACATCGTGTTATAAGCTGTGTTGTAGCTGAATGCAGAGTGTATGGGAGTATGGGAGAGGGGCATTTCTAGGACATGGGAATAGGGAAGGGAAATCACAGAAGGCCCTCCTGGAGAAGGAGAAGGTGAACACGAGTGGGTGGAAGTCATGAGAGACTTCATCTCCAGGAATGGGTAGGTGGGAAGCCTGAGCCTGATAGGAGGCCTGGGACCTCTGTGCAGTGTCTACACTGTAACACCCCCCCCCTTCCCTTGTTGGATACAGTGAAGCCCCAGGCCTGGCTGTCCAGTGGCCCCAGTCCCGGGCCTGGCCGTCTGCTGCTGGTGTGCCATGTCTCAGGATTCTACCCCAAGCCCGTGTATGTGATGTGGATGCGGGGGGAGCAGGAGCAGCCGGGCACTCAGCAAGGTGACGTCCTGCCCAATGGTGATGGGACCTGGTATCTCCGAGTTACCCTGGATGTAGCAGCTGGGGAGGCAGCCGACCTGTCTTGTCGAGTGAAACACAGCAGCCTAGGAAGCCAGGACATCATCCTCAACTGGGGTGAGAAAGAACTGGGACCCTGGCTGCAAATGGGAGGAGGTGGTTCCCACACATAGAGACTGGGTAAGGATGGGCTTGACACACCCGAGATCGAAGAGTTTCAGAGATGAGCCCCAACCAGGAAGGATAGAAGGAGGGGATTCCAGACACTGAAATCCAATAAGGATGGAGGTAGGGTGTTCCATGTACGAGAAGAAAAGAGATTAAAAACCTCAGATCCAGACATAGGCCATAAATAGAGTCCCAGGAGGATTCATTCCCCTAAACAGAGCCCAGACTTGGGACTTTAGAAAGGCAGCTTAACAAAGATATCTGTGGTTTATTGAGTACTTCCTGTGTGGGATGACAACTCAAGAGACAATCAAACCCTCCTTTGAAACAGGCTATTCTCGTTGTATAGGTGAGGAAACTGCGTCTAAGACAGGGTACATGCCCAGAGGTACACAGGAAGCGGAAGAGCTGGATTTAGATTCAGGTCTGCCTCTCTGCAAAGCTGTTGTCCTTCTCCTGGGGCAACACCATCCTATGTTGAAGAGAACTAAATTTTAGATTCCCAGACCCTGAGAAAATGAGGAGTCTAAACTTATGAGAAATTGGAATAGGCACCTTAAAGGAAGGAGGAAACAGGAAACACCTGCTACCCTCCTATCTGCTGAGACCAGGGGACTTGACACAGGGAGGCCCTGTGCTGAGAGACATCTTGTTCCCAGTGCAGAAGGGAGCCATACCTCTTTGGGCTTGATCATCTTGCCAGTCGTGCTGTTCCTGTTTCTGCTTATTGGTGTTTTAGTCTTCCGGTTCAGGAGGCGCTGGTAAGTGTCCCCTTTTCATTTCCTTCTCCCCTCGATCTCTCTTCTGTCTGCTGCTCCCCTTGTCCTTAATGGCCTCTCCCTTCCTGTTCTCTTATAGCTTCTATCAGTACATCCGGTGAGTCCCGCACATCTGCCTCTCCAGAATTCAGGACTCAAGTGCCTCCTAGGATTTCATGCTGATTGCTCAGGAATTGGGGCCGAAAGGAGAGTTGCCTTGAACAAGTAGCGAACTCTTGTAAGGCAGCTGTCTTCATATCCTTTTCACATTTACCTAACAGAATTTCAGATCTTTGTCATTATATTGTACTACAATTTCGTAAGCCTGTCATTCTGTAAAAACGAGTGTAACCGCAAATTCCTTCTAGGGACAAGCAGATAAGGGCAGAGGTGTGAGTGTGTGCATGGTCTTTGAAAGCTGGAATCTGTGACAGACGGGACCCACATGAACTGTCTAAAGGAAGCAGTTGTGTCAGCTTGTTACCAAGTAGTCAGGCTCTGTTGTGGCTATAACCTGCATCTTTCAAGAAAACTAGATGAGATTTTTTGGGAAAAGTTTATTTATTTATTCCACAAGAGAGATACAGCATCCCTGACAGGGTCCTGACACTGGGAACCACACTCAGATTCTACCTGCCTGGATCATGGGCATATGTGTTCCCAGAATCCTCAGAGAGGTCTCCAGGCTTGAACTAACAACTTTTCCACGTGGGTCTGTGCTATAGTTTGGATGTCCCTGTAAAATACATGCTTTGAGACTTGATGGTATGGAAAAGGTGTTCAACTTGATCCAGTTAGGGTGTCAAAATAATGGGTCTTTTTGGAGGAGATTCGTGACTGGGTGGTTGGGGTAGGGCCCTCATGACTGAGACTGTTTCACCATCTGCTACCAAATGAGCACACAGCCGATGCTGGAGGTGTGCACGTGGAGCTGCAGGCGCTCAGAATTCAAGAGTGTGGAAACCTCGGAAGAGATTTCAGAGAATGCATTGAAAAGCTGGGGAGTTCAGGCAGAGACCTGCTGCAGGTGCAGAGCCACCACAGAGAGCACGCACGAGGGCAATGCCAGGCAATGCCAGCTGTGGGGTACGGGCGGAGAGGACCTACCAGGAGGGTTATGCCTAGCAGAGCTGCAGAGACGGGACTGCCCTCGAGATCCCAGGACCGTGGAGCCTGGTGTGCAGCACCAGCATGGAAGAACTGCAGAGATGAGACTCCAGTTGGAGAAAGCCGGAATGTGGACTGAGTCTAGCCAGGTGTGGGAGACAGATTGATGTTTTGGTGGCCAAACCCCTCTCCACGTGTCTAAGATGTGGCACATGGGGTTTCAGGATGAAATGCCGGCTCTTTTGGGTTTTGGACTTGCTTGAAGCCTGTTATTCCTTTCTTCTGGTAGAATGGAAATGTCTACCCCCCACCTTTGTCCCATCATTGTATTTGAGGAGCATGCAATTTGTATTGCCTTCCCTGGCTCCCAACTGGAGGGAATTTGCCTTGAGTCTCAGATGAAATTTCAAGTTGAGACTTTTGGGACCACTGGAATGGTTTTGTGTCATGACCTGTATGGTCAAACATGTTTTTTTGAGTGGGAGTGGTTGTGGATTAGAAATAAACATAGAAATAAATACACACAGACAAGTAAAGAAAAGGAGGGACTGGATGGAGGCAGCCCTGACCCCAAGCTGTTTCCAGTTTATTCTTTTATAGGGCAAAAAAGGGAGGATGGGGAAATGGAATTCAGAGCCATTTGTTTTCAGATGTTAATCAACTGAAGATATGAAACCTCTGACACCTTGCAGTCCTATATGAGATTTCGCTTACCTTCTTGGGCTTCCTCTGGCTAACACAGAGTTTCCTTTAAGTGACACTGCAAGGTGCCGCTACGGAGGCTAAAGAGTTTTCTTCATTAAAGCTTTCGCTAGCTTTGCAGCATCAGCAAAAGAATCATGTTTCTGTAAGTGTTTAAAGGTCACTATGGTGTTGCTCAAATCCGGCTACTCCCTGTAGTTTTGTATGGGAGAAGTCCATGAGTTTAGGGGGGGAGAAATGGAATGTTATAGTATGGAGGTCCCCCCACCAAAAAAATTTATGTGTTGGGACTAGATTACTTTATAAAGGTGTTAACTGAAAATTTGATCCAATTATGGTGTCCAGAGGTGGGACTTTGGGGAGATTAGTGGCTGGGCAGTGACAGCAGGGTGTCCTCATTGAGTGGTGGTAGGTTTTTAAGGAAAGAAAATGAGGCAGGTAGAGGCCATTTGCTCTGTCTGCTCAAGATTCAGTCTCTTGCCCTTTCATGATGCTTTTAGACTTTCTAGCCTCAGAATTGTGAATCAATCAATCTCTATTTTATTATAAATCTCCCAATCATAGTGATTCTGTTCACTACACAAAATGGACTTTGTCTCACAGAGCGTCATGTGTGTGGGCCACTGTGCAGCCCCTGTATCTGGATTTTTATGTGAACATGCCTTATTTTACAATGTTAACTCAGGGTATCACAAAATACTGTGTGGGACATTCCAAATACACACCTGTTGGTTGATAACATCCTAGGGGGTCATAGTTCGTACATCTTTTATAAAACATTTTGCCCCAGGGCCAGCCTGTGGCTTGGTGGTTGCATCCCACATGGCCAACTGTATATTTGAGTGTCAAACCTAGTAGCTTGAGGAACACTCAGGGTACATGTGCATGTGTGCTCCAAATCCTAAACGAAGAAATGAAGGAGCAGGGATTGCGGTGTGACCGTGCTCCATGAGGGTGCTTTCTCATGTCCCTCTCTCTCACACACTGTTTCTCTCCAGGCAGCACACATACCTTCCGGCACATTGTATCATACATCGGCAATTTCTATTGTAAATTTGGATTTATACCTGAAGGAGATTATGTTCTCTTTAAAAGAGTCTGTAAGAAACCTAGTGTCTCAAGCTTGTATTCAAGGTAACTTTATTAAAACAGTGTATTTTGTTTTGTAGTAAAACACCTGGATAGTTATATGGAGAGACCCTCAATTCAAGAATAACTAACTCAGGGCTGATAGCTGCCTGAGGTTTCTGACCTCCAGCAAACTTACTGCCCTCCCAGGAACTACAGGGTAATCTGAAACCTTGAATAGGTTAGACTTCCAGCTTCTCTGTAACTGCCATTTTAGGGCAGATTCTGAGCCCCTCCCCAATTCCTAACATCCCGGAGACCTTCCGTCCCCAATTCCCCCTTAAAAAACTGTGTCTGACTCCTAGTCGAAGCCAGAGATTCAGAGTGTTATCTCCTCCGTTCTTACTGTCAGCAGCTGTTCACAGCCCTGGTGGATGGATTCCAACAGGTAGCAAATATTATTGAGACTCTACAAGTCTAGCTAGATTCCTTGACTGATGAGGTCCTACAGAACCGGAGGAGTTAGGTCTCCTGACTATCGAAAAGGATGGACTCTGTTTATTTCTGGGAGAGGAATGTTGCTTCTATGTTAACAATCAGGTATGGTCCAAGACATGGCCAAGCAATTTAAATATTTGGTCTCCAAAGAGCAACAAGCAATAGCTGACTCCTTGGCAGGTTGGGATGGATTCTTGACATGTGCCCCATGGCTACTGCCTTTCCTGGGGCCCCTGACAGTTATTCTTTTAGCACTGGCAGTCGGACCATGTGTCCTCAATCTGATTAAGCAATTCATAACCTCCTGCTTTGAAGTCATCAAGTATCAGCTGCTTTTTGCTACCCTGGAAAGCTATGTTTACCACCCTCCTGTTAATTGACCCTCCTTGAATATAGCTGAGGAAGCTCAAGGGGGGCAGGGAATGATATGGAGAGACCCTGAATTCAATAATGACTCAGGACCAATAGCTGCCTGAGGTTTCTGCCCTTTGGGAAACTTACTGCCCCTACCCAGAGCTACAGGGTAACCTGAAACCTTGAATAGGTTAGACTTCCTACTTTTCTGCCACCTCCATTTTAGGGCAGATTCTGAGCCCCCTCACCATTCCTAACATCCTGAGACATCCCCCTCCCCAATTTCCCCATAAAAGACCTTGTCCAACCCCTGGTTGGGGCTGGAGATTCAGTGTTAACTCCTCTGTGCCTGCTGATATAATAAAGAGTTCTCCTTTCTCTCTGGAGTGCTGTTTCTGCTCCTTGGCGTCTGTTTTTTTTTTTTTTTTTTTTCAACAATAGTATTTCTCTCAGATGGTCATATTGGATGAAGACAGTCTTGAAGGTTTCTCCATCCACTCAAAAGTCATCTCTACTTATAGTTATTAAAAGAGACAGCATGCGAAAAGGGTTGAGACACTTGGGCAGGCGTGAGCTGTAGTGGTGATGGTGAAGAAAGCTTGGTAGTATGCTCTATTCTTTGCTTAGAGAGGACAGAGCAGGAAATAGGAACAGCAGAACTTCCTGATGACAAAGAAATAGGAAGGCCAAGCTAACAACCATTGTTTGCCTAACTGGGAAGAAATCTTTTGGCAGTGAAGGTCCCTGAACATCTGGAACAAATGAGACTTAACTGTTGGAGAGTCTTTGCTTGAGAAAAATGAACATTTGGCATTTTCTACTAGACTTGAAAGTCCTATCCTAGGGCATGGGTAAAGCTCTTGCTAACTTCTACATCACTAGTTCCCAAATTGCAGTTACTGAATCAGCAGCCTCAGCAACACCTGGAAACTTTTTTAAAAATGCAAAGAATTTGGGGTTGCACCTCAGACCTACTTAATCAGAAACCCTGGAAATGGGATTCTGTAATCTGGTCTGTGTTTTAACAAGCCCTCTAGTGGGTCTGAAGCTCAGCTAAAGATAAGAGAACAAACCGAATTGCTATTTTTAGGTGTTGTGTCATGCAATGCAACAAATCCCTCAAAATGCTCAGTGAAAAGTAGATGACTTGAGATTAGTCAGGGAAGGCTTCAGGGAGGGAGGGGAATTCAAAGCAGGGCTTTGAAAGAGAGGCATGAGGTGAACCAGCAACTCTGGCCAACTCCTTTGGGAGATTGGACTGCAAGCTTCTAAGTAATTTTCTTTCTGTGCCAAAGGGGCTAATAATGTCTATCTTGATTATCTCACAGTTGTGGGGATCAAGTCTAAAAAAAATTGCATGGCAATTTATGCCTTGAAAAAGTTGGGGTCTACTGTTTCTGGTGTCACAGTGCCCCCAGGTGTTGCTGTTCAGGTCAGCTCCTTCCAGCAGTGTCCCTGGCCTTCCATATTCTTCTGGCTTTTGCATTTAAATCTCTACCAAAGTCCTTTTGGAAATGCTTCAGCCTGATTTTATAGTAGCTCTGATTTATCTTTAAGCAGCTTTACTTTATTTTGGAAATAAAGGCTTATCTCTCCTGAAAATTTTGTCTTCATCCTTCAAACACCAGTTTAAAACATCTCAGAAAATCCCAAGAGCTTGTTTTAGAACTTGTTCATACTTTCTTTGTGAATATCATATTCCTTATTAAGTGCTGTCAGGTACTGCCACTATGCTTCAAATTCATCCTTCATTATAGAGTCAGTGACAACACACAGAATTTATGTAATATTTCTCCTTTAAAGTCAGTGCTATGTGAAGTTTTTTCAGGAGAGGGTCTTGGAGGACACTGGGGGAAGGGGCTTTCCAGCAGTGTGCAGCTACTGCAGGGCAGGTCAGCAGAGTGACATGAGGGCATCCTGAGTGATGTTGCCCAGTTTTGCACTCAGAGCTCGTAGACACTCTGTGGCCTTGCAGTCTAATCCTGGTAACTGGGGGAAGGGGCTTTCCAGCAGTGTGCAGCTACTGCAGGGCAGGTCAGCAGAGTGACATGAGGGCATCCTGAGTGATGTTGCCCAGTTTTGCACTCAGAGCTCGTAGACCTTTGCACTCAGAGCTCTGTGGCCTTGCAGTCTCATCCTGGTAATAACTTTCCCATGGCCCTCTCCATACAGAAACCAGCACCTCTAAAGCTTCTTGCTCCTCCCAGGACTCCATCTCCTCTGCAGATGCTTGTGCCACCTGTATTTAAACCACCTGTGGCCTGGAGGCTTCCACTGACCCATACTCCCTCTACCAGACACTGCCTGGACTGAGAAGGTTGCTTCTAGCTTGTACAGCTCTGGCCTGGACAATCCAGTGGATTTTTCTGCTATCCAAGGGACTGAACCATACTCTTTAATGAAGTCTGCACCATGGCCTTGGGGAGGAGTCAACCCTCCGTGTGGTTCTTTGTTATATGAACCTCCAAAAGGATGGCTCAAAAATATCTTTGGGTGTTCTTCAGTCCTAGGGTTCCTCATAGAATAATAATTAAAAAACTCCAAAAACCAAAACCAAACCAAACCAAACCAAATCAAAACAAAACAAAACAAAAAACTCCGTTATTTTCTTTTAAGTTTTAAAGCTTATTAAAAGCTATTAAAATTCTTTGGCTTAATTCACTGTGTGACTTGTTAGTATATATATTTTCTATCTATTTATAACCTGTAAATGTCCTTTTAAAAAAACCTTGGGAGAGAGACAGAGAGGGAGGGGAGAAAAGGAAGAGAGAGGAGAGAGAGAGGAGAGAGAGAGAGAGAGAGAGAGAGAGAGAGAGAGAGACCAAGCATGCACCTCTCAGTGGGGCAAGGTCACACTGTAATCCCTTACCTCCATTTCCCCATCCCACCAAGATTTGGGGCATGCACACACATGCATACCAGGTATGCTTTTCAAGCTGCTGGGCTGGTTCTCAAACCATGATCAACCT